CCCTCCCCGGTGTCATGTGGTGACTTGTTAGTGTTACAAGGTCTCAGGTGTGAATGGGCAGCATGTGTGTTAAATTTGGTGTTATTGCTCTCACACTCTCTACAACTGGTCACTGGAAGTTCAACATGGCACCTCATGGCAAAGGACTCTCTGAGGATCTAAAAAAAAAAAAAAAAGAATTGTTCCTCTACATAAAGATGACCTAGGCAATAAGAAGATTGCCAAGACCCTGAAACTGAGCTGCAGCATCTTGGGCAATATCACACAGTGGTTTCACAAGACAGGTTCCACTCAGAACAGGCCTCCGCATCATATTCATAGGTTGTCTTTGGGAAATAGACGAATAAGTGCTGTCAGCATTGCTGCAGAGGTTGAAGGGGTGGGGAGTCAGCTTGTCAGTGCACAGACCATTTGCCGCCCATTGCATCAAATTGGTCTGCATGGCTGTTGTCCCAGAAAGAAGCCTCTTCTAAAGATTATGCACAAGAAAGCCCACAAACAGTTTGCTGAAGACCAGCAGACTAAGGACATGGATTACTGGAACCATATCCTGTGGTCCCATGAGAACAAAATAAACTTATTTGGTTCAGATAGTGTCAAGCGTGTTGTGTGGCCCTTCGCCACTTGTTCTTGGAGAGGCCTGCTTTCCAGCCTCTTGCCTTGTGACTATGGCCCCTGGGAAATATTGCCATTTAAAAAGTCTGTTTGGGCTTATTGGATTTTGGGACACTTTTTCTGTCCCTTTGAATGCATGGGAAAGTGTGCCTCTTCCCCTCCCCCATTTCCTGTCCCACTGTTCTCCAGCAGGCCGTTGTCCCAGGGACACTGCCAGACCAGTTGGAACTGGCTGCTTTGTCCCTCCTCGGTCAAATAGGACTTCCACCTAACTTTTAAACCACTGGAGGGAATTGTATGATTTTTGAGTATGTTTGTATATTGATTGTGCTAGTTCTGAATATGTAACTTTTATGGAGATTGTATGTATATTTTAGGAGTTATGAATGTTGTATGAAACTGTATATTTGCCTGCCTGTGATAATTAAGTTAACCCATTGTGTACAGTAATTATATCATGGACAGAGGGGAGGATTTGTTTGTCCTAGCTGGGAGTGTCTGACTGTATTGTATTGTGTTTGATTGGCTGTTCCACAAGACTACGTGGGTGGTAACCTTGTGGGAAAAGTTGCATATAAGACAATAAACCCTCAGACTGCTGAGTTCCTGTTTTGACCCTCAACATAGAGCCTCGTCTCATGATTGGGGGAAAAGGCTGCATTTACACTGGGGGATTGCTATACTCTACATACTCCCCTAGCTATAATTACTAAGTTCTTTTAATAGCTTGTTCCAGCTTCGCTCTCTGTAGGAAGAGAGGATCGGTCTGCAGTGCTGATGGTGTCAAGTGGAGTGCTTGGAGTCCTCGGGAAGCACTAGGAGCATCCATCAATTGAGGTACTCAGTTGGAGTACTAGGAGCTCCGTTACACGTGTGTGGCGGCAACCAGGTGAGGATTACAAAGACAAGTGTGTCTTGCTTACAGTCAAGCATGGTGGTAGGAGTGTCATGGTCTGGACCTGCATGAGTGCTGCTGGCACTAGGGAGCTACAGTTCATTGAGGGAACCATCAATGGCAACATGTACTGTGACATACTGAAGCAGAGCATGATTCGGAGACAGGGCAGCAGGACAGTATTCCAACATGATAACGACCCCAAACACACCTCCAAGATGACCAATGCCTTGCTTAAGTAGCTGAAGGTAAAGGTGATGGACTGGCCAAGCATGTGGGAGCGCAAGGTCTCTAACATCCATCAGCTCCGTGATATCGTCATGCAGGAGTGGAAGAGGACTCTGGTGGAAACCTGTCATGCTCTGGTGAACTCCATGCCCATGAGGGTTAAGTCAGTGCTGGTAAATAATGGTGACCAGTGACCACACAAAATATTGACACTTTGGGCCCAATTTGGACATTTCCACATTTCCATAGTATTCACTTTTATTGCCAACGGTTTAGACATTAATGGCTGTTTGTTGAGTTATTTTGAGGGGACAGCAAATTTACACTGTTATACAGGCTGTACACATACTACCTTACATTGTAGCAGAGTGTAATTTCTTCAGTGTTGTCACATGAAAAGATAGAATAAAATATTTACAAAAATGTGAGGGTTGTACTCACTTTTGTGAGATACTTTATATATATATTGTGACGAAATGCCTTTTGTCACTGGATTTTTAGGTGACAAGTTGCCCTTTGCCCCTGGCTGTTGGAGGAGCCTGAGTGCCAGCCTCCTGCCTCATGACTATGGCCCTGGGTTGTATGGCACTTTACAAACATTATTTGGGCTAATGGATTTATATTGTGCTGCTGCTGGCCCTTTAAGAACTGCATTGTGGTTTATGGACTTGTATTGGACCATGCTGGCCCTTTAAGAACTGTCTGGGGATATATTGAGACTTTGTGTGACAATGCCCCTTTAAGACTATGTCCCCAGACCGTTAAAATACTTTGTCTATGGCTTTCTCCCTTTGGTTCAATAAATGGGGCTTACTGAACCAGGTACCACACAGGCGGACCACCCAGAAGTGGAAGTGTGCAGGCAATTTACCTCCCAGGCTGGGAGCCTGCTGTAGGTAAATTGCCGACCGCTGGGTGGCCGCAGTTCGTGCAAACCAACACGTGGCGGCGGCCATCTTTGTTCATTCACACGAGGTCAGCGGTATGTGTAGCCAAATTCATGGAACTAAAATCGGCTACACATTTCACCGAACACCGCTGACCTGTACCTTCTCCTACACTGAATTTGCATCTGCAGAGACTAAGTCCCGTTCGGCAGTTTGAACTCACTGCTATACTAAGCCAAATGCATGAACGGCCCCGTTTGTGCATTCGAATGGGACTTTTCTGTGTAAAATAGACCGACCGCACAGCCCAAATCTATGGAACTGTTTTGGGCAGGGAAATGTGCTTGCGGTCGGTCATAAAGGACTTCCGTCTAACTTTTTATTCACTGGATGGATTTGTCTGATTTTTGTTTATGTTTATATTTAAAGTGTGCTGATTAATAATATGTAAGTTTATGAATATTGGATACATAGTTTTGGAGTTATGAAAGTTGGGTAAAAAGTGTGTTTTAAAATGTATGGATAATTGGGTTACCTCTCAGGCTAAGGGGAGGAGATGTGTGGGATGTAACCATTGTGTGATTGGGTATTGTATAATTGTCTGTGGACGTCTCCCTTGCAGGGGAGAATTGCATAAAAGTAGAGTATGTGCCATTAAAAGATCAGATCATCTTGTACCTTCATGAAGTTTCGGCTCATGTTTTGGGGATTGGAGAACTACACCCTGGGGATTGCTATAATCACTATACTCCCCAGGATATAATCACTAAGCTCTGCCAAGAGCTTGTTCCTGTTCTCTGGAATTCAGAGAGGTCGACCTACTGGAAGCTGGTCCCTGGTCTTGGGTCCAGAGTGGGTGGAGACAGCGGGACCCCAACCAAGCTGCAGCGGTTTGTGGGGTCTGCAGTGGTTATGGTGTCGGGCAGAGTGTTTGGAGTCCTCGGAAAGCACTAGGAGCATCCGTCAGCGGAAGGTACCCGGTCGGGGTGCCAGCAGTTCCGTTACATATATATATATATATATATATATATATATATATATATAGTTACCTGGGACCATACAATCACACAGTATTAAAGATAGGAACACCACACAAATCGGATCTCTTGTAAATGCAGTCTTTTTCTGTATTAAGAGGTCTGGCAATTTAAACAGAAATAAAACAAACAAAAAGAAAAGCCTTGCTCTTCTGAACACTAACTCACAGTTTTTCCTCTAACTGCTGTTGGGTGGCTTACCTGCTTCCAACCATTCAAAATACAAATTTAAGCAGAGACCTTTTTTCCAAATAAATGTTTCCTTTCTCCTTCAAAACACAAAGACTCTTGTAGGGAGACATGCAGTCTCACACACTGCTTGTCCTTCTCCCTGTGAATCCCTGACAGGGACATTTTATAGCAGTCCTGTACTAATCATTGCCAACAGGGGAGCAGTTATCTGGGTGATCCAGAACTCCTGGTTTGGATTGCTCACCTGCTGTGCTGCATGTAAACTGTGGAATGGAGCATTGGCCCTCCCTTCACCCCAGGAACCCATATTAAATTGCAAAATTGCTCTGATTAAAAGAAACAGACCTTCTTCCTTGGGCTATAAATTTACATATTCCAATACTTTTGGAGAAATATACACTCCATCCATAACAATGCCTTGCACTCGGTCACAATATATATACACATACTCTATATATACATATATATATATACTCTCTAACACACCATTGCTCACTGACACATACTCACTCTCAATGACATAGTTTTACCAATCTATTCATACACACCGGCACTCACATTCTCATACATAGGCATATACAAACACATGGGGCTATAAATACACTGCGTCTTGCACACACGCACACATTGCCACTTACACACACACACTGCCTCTTACACACACTGCCTCTTCTAATCTATACACACACATATGCACTCACAGGTTCATACATAGGCTGTAATGCTACAAGGGGTTTTAGAATTGGAACTCAACTGCAGCTTGTAGAACTCCTTAATTACAATAGCAAGAAAGCGGAGAATTATTAAGGATACTGTAACTTTAAAGCAAAGTGGTGGTTGCAGGCAGTTAGTGAAGAAAACAAAGTCTTAATGATTGCAATAATATTTTAGTAACTGAGGATTATAGCATGCAAGTAACAATGCATTAGGAAGTAACTGCAGGTTATATCAAGCAGGAAACAGTTCATTAGTAATTCAATCTTCAGAGGTGGAAGTGAATAATATACTTAAGATTGATGGGAGTTGTATGTATGTCTGTGTGTGTGGGTCAGTATGTGTCTGTGTGTGTCAGTATGTCTGTCTGTGTGTGTGTCTGTATGTCTGTGTATGTGTCAGTCAGTATGTCTGTGTGTGTGTCAGTTTGTATGTCTGTGTGTGTGTCAGTATGTGTGTCACAGTGTCAGTATGTCTGTCACAGTGTGTTAGTATGTCTGTCTGTATGTATGTCTGTGTGTCTGTATGTATGTATGTGTGTCATTCAGTATGTCTGTGTATGTGTCAGTTTGCATGTCTGTGTGTGTGTGTGTCAGTATGTATGTCTGTGTGTGTGTCAGTATATCTGTTTGTGTGTGTGTGTGTGTCAGTTTGTGTGTGTGTGTGTATCTGAATGTTGTCAGTATGTATGTATCCGTGTGTGTGCCAGTGTGTATACCTGTGCATGTATCTGTATGTTGCCAATGTGTGTATCTGCATGTGTGTCAGTGTATGTCTGTGTATCTGCATGTGTGTCAGTGTTTGTATCTGCATTTGTCAGTTTATGTATCTGTGTGTCTCTATGTTATCATTGTGTGTGTCTGTGTATCTGTATGTTGTCAGTGTATCTGCATGTGTGTCAGTGTGTGCATCTGTGTGTCTGCATGTGTGTATGTGTATGTTTCAGTGTGTGTAAATGTGTCTGTGTAGCTGCATCTGTATGATTGTGTATATCTGTGTATCTGCAAGTGTTTCTGTGTGTGTGTGTATCTGTGTGTGTATGTGTATTACAGTGTGTGTGTGTGTGTGTGTGTTTGTAGCAGTGCATGTGTATATGTGCATACATCTCAGCATTCAAACGCCAACACTACACGCAAATACACATCTGCATTCAAACTTCAACACTACATATAAACACACCTCTTTTTTAAACAACAAAATTATATATAAACAAACCAGTGCATTCATAAACCAGCAATACACATAAATGCATGCTTGCATTCAAATGCCATCTCCCCATACAAACATTCACACAAATATACTCCATACAAAAACATGCTTACACTGAAACACACAAACACTGTTCAGTGCTAAATACAACCCTGCAAGCATGAGAAAATGGTAGAGCCCCAGCTGTCAAAGCATTGTTGGAGTTGCACGACAGATGGGGATCTACCTTTTGCCCCCTCTTGCCCAAAATAATTTATGCACCAGAGCCCTCTCTACTTTACGTCCACCTCTGCGTTGGGGTGGGGGGGGGGGCTTGATTGCATGCCAGGGAGGGAACGACAGGGTCCAGGGGGCCCAAGTGTTTGCCCAGGGTCCAATCAATATTAAAGATGGCCCTGATGGAATGTAATGATGTTGCATAAAAGCAAATAATAAATATATACTGATAGCAGAATTAGGATTTATTACATTTCCGAGTGTTAAAAAGCTACATTAGTTCCAAACTCCAACACATAATGCTAGACATCTAGAACAAATAAAATAAGCAAATCAATATATGCAGCAATACTGAAAACATCAACTATTGCTGTGGGCTATGTTCCCTGAACATCATTCCAAAGTTATCATATTTGGTATTTTTACATATTAAAAACATTAAATATATATCGAGGCTGAAATGCCTTCAGCAGGGTACAGTTGTACAAAAAATACTTTCTTGGTTTATATATCCAGAGAATTTGAAACAATACTGTCCCCTCTGGTTAATATTTTTATATTTTACATTTATTTTCTTCATCATTTCCCAAGCAAAACAGGACTCTCGGTATGTGCAGAGACTGTGTAAATGTGGCAGATGGTTGCAGTTAATTCCATGTAGCCTAATGTAAATTATGGATCAAATTCTGCGCTTTTCCCAGAATGGAATGATTTGAAGACACATTCGTAACTTAGTGAATTGCGTCAAAAGTGAGACTCCAGTATGACAATTGAAAACCACCACTCAAGGATATTCAATAAGAGACATTTTGTTGTTGCAAAAAATT